TGATCTAGTCTTTCCTTCCGTTCAGGAACATGTGAAGCAAAAGCAATATAAAGTCCTTGAACGTTCTGCGAATTTAAACGTGCGATCCTTTGTTGAAGAGGAAAATGTCTTAGCACGTAATGCCCGTAATTATCAAGGGAAAGAGAAATGGATTCCTGGAGTGGTCACTAAAGTTCTTGGTTCAAGGCATTACATGGTTAGAGTACCTGGATATCTGTGGAAACGACATGTAGATCAGTTAGTCAAATACAATCCGCAGATTGAACCAGAAAATGATTGGGATGAAGTTGAGATCTCTTCGGAAAAGAGTGGGACACCGGAAGCAGAACAATTATTTGAAAATTCGAACAGATATGGAAACACCTCGGGTACTAGTACTGTAGAAAAGAACGATAATCAAAACTCTGTTACTGATAATTCAAGTGCGAATAACACAGGTTCCGCTGAAAGACGTTATCCGTTAAGAGCTAATCGAGGAAGAACAGATCATTAACTTTAAAGAACTTTTACGTTATTATCGTAGACAATTTATAGTTAATTTTATCGTTATGAACAGAGACTTTTGTTAGAAAGGGAAATGTGATATATTGCGCATGCGCTTTGAGGGTTAAGGGAACATGTGCGAGAGCGATAAAGCAAAGGTTGTTATTCCGTTTTCTAAGGACATTAAAAGTTGAGTTTGAGTTGTATAACAGTGCATTTCTGAGGATATAACAGTATAGAATAGGTAGCTAGTGAATGAGACCTCAACATAGTCATAAACAGCCATTTTGCATGGAAGTTGAGTGCGTAATCTCGTATTACACTGTCAAAGAAATAGCGCAAAAACGCATAGAAATCATTCGGTCCCCAGGATAATTTTAGCATGGTTATAACCAGCATAAAATCCTACGCAATATAAGTTAAAATAAAAATTTCTATAGAATAGGTATAAACGTGTAAGTGAGACCTCAACATAGACAGCCATTTTGCTTGAAAGTTGAGTGCGTAATCTCGTATTACACTGTCAAAGAAATAGCGCAAAAAACGCATAGAAATCATTCGGTCCCCAGGATAATTTTAGTATGAGACCTCAACATAGACAACCTATTTTAAGGTGTATGCTAATCTATATAAAATATTAAACAACACCGTTTGAACGACTTGGGGTGATGAATGTCGTGATAGCAATATGCCAAAATTTTAAAAAATATTGAACATTTGTGTTGTTACCATTGTCATAGTAGAAACTGCATGTGTAATATATTAACTGCAAGTGTACTCACTATTTACATTATCTTAATTGAACTTGCAAATGTAGATGTTTGAATTAATTGATGATTTGGTTTAAATGATGTGTAGCGTCCCGGGATCCCAATAATCTCTTCAACACACTCAGTTAGAATCTCCTTTATTAAGGACAATCTCTCTATATTTATAGTCTAAATAAATAGGGCCGGCGTTTACAATGACTACACAATTCACATAAACTACGTCAAGGATGCATGGGCGATAGGGAAGGGAGTCGGCCTACCGCAATATGCTAAGTCATCGACCCACGCGCAAATAATGCTAATTCATGTTACACAATCGTAACAGATGCGACTGAAAGATCATGTAATTGACTTTAATATCTGACTCGTCCCCAGTCGTCTCTGTGTTTCAAGCGCGGGCGGAAGAAAAGGTAGCAAGGGTTAGCAAGGGCATGCAGGCGGTA